TTGGTGCAATCTCAAAAAAATAGTCACACATCTTGCAAAATTTGTAATTTGGGGGCATTCTTAAAGTTTTTTTTTTCTTTTTGTTTAAAAAATTGAAAGCCGGTGGGCAGAGATCATCATCATATGCAGAGGCACTTCATTTTCAATGAATGAGATAGAAGTGTAGTTTCACACTTGTAAAGGGCACTTTTCATTAGCTTGCCCCCCCAAAAAAAGGAGAGGTCTAGATTTTTTTCTTGATGCAAAGCTAGGTTGTTGGCTCATCTGTGACAAATATAAAGTATGCAGTGACTTGGGAAGGAAATTTCATGAAGATCTTCATCTCTATTTTCTCCCTATATTTTTTTACCATAAACATTAACTGACCTCCATTTGCAGTCTCCATTTTCAGACTGACTCCTACATGCAATCTCTGGCTCCTTAGCTTAATGAATTGTTTCAGGGAAATTGAAAGCTGGCACATCTTTGGGTGTGTGTGTGTCTTTTTTGGCAAGTGTGCTCAGTGATGGATTTGGGTTCCATTGTCCAACTTTGCCAAGACAGAGAATGCTTCTTTTCAGTATTGTGCTTTTATGACCAAGTTTGCAAAGAGTGTTTGCAAAACAGGACAGAACTTCTGGGATTTTGATAGCTGTGTGAAAGAAGTTACAGCTGATGTTGCTTCCATGACAGGGAATATCTGTTACATTTCTTGCTGAGGCACAAATGTTAATGCTGCAGGAGTTGCATTCTCATTTGCATCTGGCTACTTGAAATTGGGACATTATTGTGATCCAACGTGTGCTATATGTCACTACGTGATTGTGTGAATCCTCTCCTTCCACCAAAGTTTTGTAATTTGCAAGAATTTCAAGCTGTGAATGTGTTTTAATACAGGGTTCCCCAACGCCTGGTCTGTGGACCAGCACCAATCAGTGGCATGACAGAAATCGGCCCACGCAAACAAGCAAAGCGCCATCCGCAGGATGCAGGCAGCATGCGAAACCATGTCCCCTCCTGTCCACGGAAAAACCTCTCTCCACGGAACCGGTCCCTGGTGCCCAAAACAGCGGTCCCTAGGGGCCACTGTTTTAGTACATACAAAGCCTTTATATTATAAAAGTCAGGGCTTGCAAAAAAAAAATAATGTTTTTTCATACTCTCATATTTCAAAGCAATGCAGATTGACATTGTATATACACAGAAGTGCACCTTTTCCCCATGACTGACCTTGCTGAATTGGGGTGAAAATGCCACACAGTGTTCAAGGTTACAGTTCAGAGCAGAAACATTGCAACAATAGTTATAAAATAATATAGAACTTCTGTGACATTGGACTGAATTATTTATGAAGCTAATAGAACGTGCTATTTGGAGATATAAATGAAGCCTATATATTGAAAACAAAAATCTATTTTCTGGAGTAGGAAAAGATTGTATTGTAAGAATTGTATGGCTTAGGAAAGTATTTTAGTTCACAAAAGACCAGAGCTTTAGCTTCAGTTAGATTAAAAAGTAATATGAGAGCTCCTTTTTCTTCACTGCTTTTCCTGTAGCAGGAAAAGATTATATTACATTAGAACGATGTCTCGGGAAAGTGTTTTGGGTTTCTTTAGAAAATTTCAGAGCTTTAGGTGCATTGAAAGTCTAAAAGTAATAGGGCAATCTCTCCTTTTTGATATTAATTTCTAGAGAATTTTCTAGATACTGTCAGCATCTTTCTTTGATCGATTTTACTGATCAAATCACTTGAAACTACTTCATCGTAGAGTCTAAACTAAGAGTAGATTCCAGGAAAAAAGTTTGCTTGGTTTTGATAGCTTAATTTCAACCTGATTAGCATGAATCTGTGGTCAAATGGATTGAAGAAGAAAAACGAATTTGTTATTTTTTCTGATTTGTAAAAAAAAACATGTTACAGATTTGTGTGCATGGTTTTGTCTCAGTCTTGATCCCTGGTGTTGCCTGGACTAGTCCCTGTAGTTTCCTTGGCATAGTTTTTAGAAGTGGTTTTCCACTGCCCTTCTTCCTTCCTTAGCTTGAGAAAGAATAACTGGGTGATGATCACCCAGCTGTGTTTTATGCTTAAGGTAGGACAAGAACGCACACTTTCCTGATTTCAAGCTTGGTACACCTAAGAGGTACACTACTGGATCTAAGAAATAGATTAATCAGCTGGGTAGTGGAAATTATGAATGCTTCTTGAAGAATGAAACCTTCACTAGAGCACAATTTGAAAAGTAATGTTGATGCATTGTTTTCTCTCATTTTTTTTAAAAAATAGAATTGGTTTCATTCTGGTTATGAAACTGTTCCTCCATTGACAATAAAGATCTAATAAGCATCTGAAACCTACCATAAGTTTAAAAGTCTTGTAGCATTCCTGATTGATGGAAGAACAGACTGCAAACCTAAAGGACTTAATTTCCTGAAGCTGTTTTAACTAGCTTCGTGCTTCTGGCTATGGTTATTAAAATATATAGCTTCATACTATAAAGGCTGCTAGCGTGTTTTACGATCCTTTTAGTTCCTCCCTCTTCACTATTACATTTTTCTCATCATACCTGTGCAACTGTCATGCCTGAATTACATAAATATGATTTATCATCTTACACCCCCAATGTTGTTTTGCCACCCCACCCCCCTGTGCATCAGGCAGAAGAGTCAAGCAGCTTTTGCAACAGCAGTTCATGTTTTTCATTATAGGCTAAATGCTGCTTATGTTTCTATGTAGATTTCTATAAGAGGCATAGCTAGGCAGTGGTATAAACAAATAAACTTTAAATGGAGATTTTTAAAAAGTAGGGGGCACTGTTTCAAAATTTATGCACATTACTTAGACTGCTTGTTAATTTCTTAAAGAAAGGAAGGACCACCCATTTGTAAGAGAAGTTTGGAAATATTGTAACCCTAACTGATTCATTTATTTCTGATATAACAATTGCACTGAATCTTCTCTTTGCAGTCTAATGAGAATGCCAAACTGTGATGCAGTAGAAAATCTAACAAGATGATTTAGTCATTCTCATATAAGATCTCGAAAGATCCAGAGATTAAATCGACAAAAACTTACAAGATTAAAGAAGTTCTGAGATTTTTGGATGAGGAGGAGGATATTAATGATTTATGCAGCCCTATCTTGAAAACGTTGCCAAATCAACAACATTATTCTTATTTCACAAATAAGCATAAAAGAGCTGGATTTGATGGTAAACATAAAAAAGTTGTTTATCCATGCCTCTGTTATAGTAACTTTATATGAAACATTGATCATGTGAAAATTTTATTAAGACCTGAGGCAACTGTGACACATTTGGTCATTCTTTTAGAAATATTTGCTTACCTAAATCAGAGTTTTTCTCAACCTTGACAATTTTAAGGCATGTGGACTTCAACTCCCAGAATTCCACAGCCAGCATTGCTGGCTGTGGAATTCTGGGAGTTGAAGTCCATATGCCTTAAAATTGTCAAGGTTGAGAAACACTGACCTAAATGGAGAAGCAGAATGACCCCGAGCAGACGAAAGAATCAAGGAGAGCAGGAACAGAGTTCCAACTTCCTGCAAGCTTCCCCCTTAATAAGGCTTGTGGGAAGGTGGCAGAGACGTTGGAAATCACTCCTCTTCCCTCAGCTGGACTGCAAAACTGTCTGCCATTTTTTTCTGAGGGGAGGGGGGGGACAAAAGGAGCTGCGGACCGAGAGGAAAACTACACCTCACCCCTCACCCCCCTCCTGACATGTCTCCATTTCACTTGATTCATTTGGTTAAGTCTGAGTATGTAAGAATACAGCAACTATTTCACCACTGTTTTAATCCGCTAACCCAGTGTTTCTCAACCTTGACAATTTTAAGGCATGTGGACTTCAACTCCCAGAATTCCACAGCCAGCATTGCTGGCTGTGGAATTCTGGGAGTTGAAGTCCACATGCCTTAAAATTGTCAAGGTTGAGAAACACTGCGCTAACCTAACCCGCTAATTGACGGACACTATCAGTAATGGTAGGTGGGAAAGATCTTGGAGAATGGACCAAGAAACTCTTAAGGGACGATCAGATAACACAGAGCATATCCCCCAGCTGGACTGCAGGCAGAGCAAGAGGCTCAGAAGGGACCCTTCCCTTGTTTCTTCAGCTGTAAAAGGGAACAGTGGCAGGTTTGTACTTTCAGGCTTGCCAGATTCTGCTTACGTAGCTTTACAATCAGGTAGAAATAAGATCATCTGGTTATGTTTCCTGTCTGGTCTACCTAGGAAGGCTGACATATTTTGACTCATAAAAATGAACACGGCATGCTGAATTAAGCTTGTATGCTGCTTTTAGGAGGAGGCACAGTAAGATAGCTGCAGCTCTGGACAAGTGGTTAAAGAAGGTAGCCATGCAAAGAGCTTCTCTGTCTGGCATTTTCCCTGAAACATTTAGACGCGCTTCCAGAGGCTTCTGGAGCAAGCCAGAGTTTCTGTGTCATGCTGTTACGACACAAGTTCCACCTCTTAAGTACTTAACATGCATGTTTGTGCCACAAGTACAAAAGGGGCAGGGTATTGTGTTGCAGTATCACTGCCCTCTTCTGTTGCACCTTCTTCCCACCCCATCCATTTTAGCCTAGGGTCATGGTGGCGGACCTAGAGCCCTCTCTGTTGGGCACGCACGCCGTCACCCCAGTCCCTAGGCCTTCAGCTGGGTTTTATAAAACCTTTTCACTTTAGGCCTCCGCCGCCGTGTGCAAAAAAAAAAAAAAGGTTCAATCAATCAATCCATCAATTTCAACTTCTCGTGGAAAAAAAAGATCTCGTAAAGTTGGAACTGATTGATTGAACTTTTTAGTCCCACCCAGTCTGCCGTTACCACTGCAGCCACGCCCACTCGGCACCCAATGATACATAAGTGGGTTTTGGGTTGCTGTCTGGGAACTCGGTCTCTAACAGGTTTACCATTACTGGCCTAGTGGATTGCAGCCTTCAGGGTTTTGCGACATGGATAAGCGTGGCTTGATTCAAACTTGTCATTTGTTTCCGTTCCAGCATCCTCAATTCTGAAGAGTGAGAAAAGGAAGAGGACAAAAAATGTTCATTTTAATTGTGTTACGGTATACTACTTTACCAGGAGGCAAGGTTTCACAAGTGTCCCCAGCCAAGGAGGCAGCACTTTGGGCATGTCCACTCGTCACAACAGTGTACGCCAATACACTCTTGGGGAGTTTGCAATGGAGCAAGAACGGCTTCATCGAGAGATGTTAAGAGAGCATCTCAGGGAGGAAAAGCTGAACTCCTTAAAACTCAAGGTAAAAAAAGAAAAAAGAAAAGGGATCCTTTCCTCCCCTCCACACACACACACACACACACACACACACACACATATGGAGCCAAAACATTAACAGTGGGATTGGCAGTTAATATCCTTGGCAAGGTTGCATCTTCACTTCTAAGATGGCTGCAGTTCAGTTGCTTCCAACAAGCTGGCATTGACCCTGTCTCTCATATTAACTCATCAGGTTTTAATAGGCTCCACCTGGGCTCTTTAAGATGATTGTTTTCTTCCTGCTATGCAGATACGATGACAATTTGTTCCACCCCATCAAAGTTCCGGCTTTGATCAGGATGCAAAATATAGTTAAGCCAGCTGCTAGGTGTGGATTGCTCTGCACAAAAGAGATTTTGAAATGATATTTGGGAAGGTGTTGTTGTTGTTTTTTTACCCCCTTTCTCTTTGAATCGTATCATGGGCTGCTGGGAAAATTACGACAGCCAACTGTGCTTACTCTGTGTGATATCCAGTTTCACAAAATGCTGAAACCCACATTTTTATACAGGAGCTTATTCTGCTTCTCTAGAAAGTAATTCTCTCTACTGAACACATCTGCCAGTGATAGGTCTGATATTGTTTACCTGGATATGTACCGTTGATTGCTGCATACAAGCTACTTGATATATTCTTCCCCCCTTTTTAAAGGATGTCCTATGCAAATAGCAACCGGGGCTGCGTAAAATATTTGTAAATATAACAAAACATATAAGAAAACATTTCTCTTTAAAGTATTAGAGCAGTGTTTCCTTGACAGCGGTGACATAGCTGCTTCCAAACTTTCCTTAGTAAGGGATGCACAAAGCTAGTTTCTCCTGGACTACCAGCAAAGAGAAATGGCTGGGCATTCACTCCCGGGCAGAGGGACATATTTCAAAGCAGCTACGTAAGCTTTGCAAAAAGGACAACTGCAAAAAGGCGTGCTTTGCCCATGCTAAGAGATTTTGCAGAGCCTCTTTCTGAACAGTTTCCTAATCCTGGAGGGTATTCCAGTGGTGCCTGCAAGGGATGGTCAAAATCAGCAAGATGGCAGGTGGAGCTTCACAGTGTAAGCTCTGAACCATTTGTACATGTACATTTAAAACATAGTGACATTCCCCAGAATAAGGTTGATGGGACACAGTAGTAGGAAGAGCACCATAAAAATAAAAGGTGATTATGTGTTATCCTAAACCAGTGTTTCTCAAACTTGGCAACTTTCAGATATGTAGATTTCAATCCGCAGAATTCCCCAGCCAGCATATTGGGCTGGGGAATTCTGAGAATTAAAGACCACATACCTTAGAAATTGCCAGGTTTGAGAAACATTGTCCTAAACCCTTGACTCAAAAGACTACTGGAAGGAAAATGCATACTTTAAGACAGAGTACTCATTCAATCCATGCCCACAGCGTTTTATACACTCTCTGCATATGTAACATAGGAATAGGATGTTACCCATATGTATTTTATGTATGTGCAATATGGCAAATAGGACTTTGCACAAACACAGGAGCATACAGTTCACAGAAAGATGTTATTCATTGCATCTGGGATCTGCAAAACAGAACTGTTACAATGAGGATTTCTTTTGGTTACCAAAGCTTGGTCTATGGTATAAGCTTATAAATGCTTCAAAGCAACTTCAGTTGTTCACTTAATAATAAGAGCCATGAAAATAAGCAGAGATATTTAAAGACAGTGTGGTCCTCATACATCAATTTCACACTCTTGCACAGGAAAGCTTATACTACTTAAATTGTTTCCTTTGAACATTCTGCTCAGTGGAGCTGTGACGCATCTTTTAATGTTACTATAGATGACTAATAATGGCACTGTGGAATCCGAGGAAGCGAACACTTTAACGCTGGATGACATTTCTGATGATGATATAGATCTGGACAACACTGAAGTAGACGAGTATTTCTTTCTACAACCTCTGCCGACAAAGAAACGAAGGGCACTCCTACGAGCCTCCGGAGTCAAGAAGATTGATGTAGAAGAAAAACATGAGCTGCGAGCCATCCGTCTTTCGAGAGAGGACTGTGGTTGCGATTGTCGGATCTTCTGTGACCCGGAAACTTGCACTTGCTGCCTTGCAGGCATAAAATGCCAGGTGAGAGGTATTTCTATACCAAAGGGAGGTTCCAAGTGTTTTATTTTCAAAAAAAGGGAAGGATATCCTGCCCATTCACATTCATTTACGTGTTCTAAAGAGAGGCACTGCCCTTCTTTCCCTGCTACAGGAAGCTTCATCTGTAGTTGAAGTATAAGGTGAGTCGTTTGCCCCTCCACATGTTGCTATAACACAGATCCCAACAGTTGCAAGCAAGCATGTTCACTTATTGAGGGATCCGAAGAGTAATTCAGCATAATCTGGAGAAATATGGATTCTGTGGGCAGCTATAAAATGCATTTCTTTAGGAGTACCGTATTTTCCGGCATATAAGATGACTTTCTAAAGCATGCAAATCGTCTCCGAAGTCGGGGGTTGTCTTATACGCCGAGTCGTCTTATACGCCGAGTCATACGCCGGAAAATACGGTACTTGGCAAAGTACAATAACGAAGATATAGCATAGCCATAAAAAACAGGTAGCCCAGGCTTTGGTTTTGGATCACCCTTCAGGGGTAGGCAACCTTGGCTCTTTTATGACTCGTGGACTTCAACTCCCAGAATTTCTGAGCCAGCCATGCTGAGGGGAAAGGGAGAGGTTTCCAAGCTGAGCCATGCTGGCTCAGGAATTCTGGGAGTCGAAGTCCACGAGTCATAAAAGAGCCAAGGTTGCCTACCCCTGCACAGCTGTTTTCTTCAACTGGGTAATCTTCTGGTATATTATGTCTAAAACTCTCAGAATTCCCGTAAGCACAGTAATGTGCCATCACAACTTAAGGGCAGCATGTTGGAGAAGGTTAACTTAAAGGTTTAGAGCCCCTTTTCTATTAGCATTAGGGTTAGGGTTTTCCTGTCATACTTTTCAGCTGTGCTGCGTCCTGGATTACCAGCGTGACTGGAAAGTGCTGTGATCACATGGGCAATCCAGGAAGTGCTGATGGAATAGTAGCTTTCTGGAGAAGAGTTCCATTATGTTTCCAGGTTTAAAAAAAGATTAAAGAGACAGCTTCCTTCCTGCCTTTATATTAATGCTAAAAAAAAAAAAGACAATGAGATTTCCTATGAGGCTGTTTATACCGCTTCAAGATCTGTTTGGAGTGGAATATTCAAATTCACCCCCGCTAATCAAATGTAAGAAAAGTGGAGAGCAGCAAGTGGTATTCCCACTTCCCTAACTTCTGGAGCGTAACCTCATCCCATCCACGAATGTATACATTTTTATACAGTTAACTGAAATGGCCCCATCAGCCTGAATATCTGGAGAAAAAAAAACCTTCTTCTGCAATTTAGCAGTCACCTGGATTAATCCTAAATATTGGCATAACTGTTAAGCCATTAAACCAGCAGAGTGAGGAGGGGGGGTAGTGAGGCTAGAGGAAAACAAAGGGACAGGAGGTCCCACGGCACATTTGTCATTCCTTAAACAGAGCAAGCTGTCATTCGTTTCACAGCCACCTTGTCTTCAGTAACTGGATTCACCGTCTGCAGGGAGCCATAATGTGGTTTGTGTGTTTTTGGCTTAGTGTGATGCGTGCAAGCCATTCTCATTTATAAATCATAATTTCTAATGGAAGTGTGAAATGTTGCGCCATTTAAAACAAAACAAACAAACCAGGGCTTAGTGCATTTTGCAAAGCCAGACAGGTCTCCCTTTCCAACATCTCTTATCTGGATTTCTTTCTGCCCGAAAGAAATTTTGCAAAAGCAGTTTTTATTTCAGGTAATTAATTTATTTCCTATACCAATCCTCAATGAGACTTCCGGGGCTATTTTCTTTGATGGAGTTTTTTGTTTGGTTAGAACAGTTTCTAGCATGTTAGCGTTGATAGCGCCCAATCAAACAGCTAATCCATCATTCTTTCTCCCCCCCCCTCCCATCAGGTGGATCGTATGTCTTTCCCGTGTGGTTGCACTAAAGAAGGATGCAGCAATACAGCTGGCAGAATTGAATTTAATCCCATCAGGGTTCGGACTCACTTTTTGCACACTATAATGAAACTTGAATTGGAGAAAAATAGAGAGCAGCAAGTCCCTGCGCTGAACGGCTGCCACGCTGAGCTAAACGCTCACAGCAGTGCGATGGGTCCCACCTCCCACCCCCTGGAATTTTCAGTCCCAGAGAACTTTGAATTAGAGGCTGAACCCAGGGCTGCAGTGATGCATTTGCAGTCGGCAGGTGACTTGGATTGCCCTGGAGAGGAAGAAGAGGAAGAGGATGAGGAAGAGGAGGAGGAGGAGGAAGACGCAAGTAGCTTTTGTAGTGGAGTTACAGATTCCAGCACACAGAGTTTAGCGCCCAGCGAAACAGATGAAGATGATGAGGAGGAGGAGGACGATGAGGAGGAGGAGGAAGAAGAGGAGGAGGAAGAAGAAGAAGAAAAATTAGATGAATGTCTGGAAGGCTTGGGTGCTCATGCTGATGCAGGTCAAGCCCTTCCTTCTGTCCTTTGCTATTCAGACAGCACTGCCATGCATGAAAATCAGCCAAAGGCACTTTCCTACTACCCAAGCTCCACTTCCTTGTATTACCAAATAGAGAATCACGGCCCTGGCACTCCTAACCAGATTCGGGAGCCTTACTCGGAAAGAGAGACTGTTAAGAACGGGAATCTTTCTCTGGTGCCTTACAACCCAACATCAGAACAGTTTGTGGAGTACGCGCGGCCCTCAGAGGAAAATTATGGCAGCTCCCTGTATCCTTCTTCAAACCCGTCGGTCATCGTTTGCTGCTCTTCATCAGAAAGCGATAACGTCGTCCCATGTAGCAGTTTATATGGGGAACATCGGCCAAGGCATCCCCAAGTGGATTTTCCTTCATACTTGAAAAGTCCTTCGCAAGATGGATTTGTATCTACTTTGAATGGTGGCACTCGCCTCCCAGAGTGTCCCACCGAGAATTCACTCGGCCTTTCAGAAAAGAGCAGACTACACGAAGAGTGTATTAAATCTCCCGTCATGGAAACAGTACCTGTTTAAATTTATTTTAGGACTGAATCGCTCTTGATTTCAAATGCATTCTATTTTAATTGGATTCCCTGGAAGCGTTCTTATTTTTTTTCTCTCTCAGCAGTGGAGGTAAGGGGGAAGACTGTGGTTAATGTTTTGATTTTTTTTTCCCCATTGGTGTTTTTCTGTAAAGCTCTCTTGGCTGTGGCCATTGCACAAAAACAGTTTGTGTAAAAAAGTAAACTTTTATAAAAAAAACAAAACAACAAAATGGTCCTTTGATAGAAAATACCCAGATTTTAAAATAATCCACACAGATATATATATATATATATCCACACCCACATGAATAAAGTACAAAGTACAAGCCCATGTCTTGATTTATGCTGGGCTCTCTAGCTTACAACTTCTTATTTTATTGTCGGGCTCGTGCAAGATAATAAAAATGTTACTTTGGGTTCTTTATATTTAGGATATTAAAATATCGCTCCTATTTGAGGGTGATGACTTTTTAAATATAAATGTGACTGCAAACAAAAAACAAACAAACCTGAATTATTCAGTAATGTATTTGTTTATTTATTGTAGCTTAGTACTCATAACTTGATAAAAATGAACTGCTTGCTCTTCGGAGCAGAACAGCACAATGAGATTTCATTAGGCAAATTGCTTTTGTGTGGGCAGTACATCTGACCACAAATCCTGTTCTCTGATCTGCACTAGGGACTATTCATATTTGCAATTTAGGAATGTAGAGAGGACATACCACTGAGTCGTTTTGTTGACACTGGTGTGGAGTTTTTCTTGCAATTGCTGCCCTGTCCCCATCTCAAGGAGAGGACAACGTATAAGACTTTTCTAAATTGCAGCTAGTGGCAGCTACATTTCTAAAAATGTGTAACGTCGGACAATCCTTAGATTTTCAGGGGTCGAGAGAAGCAGCGTTGGCATTATAAGGAAGTTGGGTTGTGTTTGTTACTCAGGTGTCTCTCTCTCTATTCTTTTCAATCCACAAACTATTCTGGATGAATGCATAATAGGGACACTATCCAGCCAGACTTCTTCAGATCTTGCCGTTATTTTTCCCACGTTCACTGGCCATTTTCCCTTCTACCAGTATACTTTTCCTTAATGGCAACCCTCACATTTGTGAAGAACTTTGCTTGTCAGAAAGTAGACAATGGTGGCTCTACAAGATGGCTTGGGCTCTCTATTAAATAAGAGCATTGCTGCAGTCTTTCCATGGTTATTTCTTCATGTAAAGTCGGAATGCTATATTTTTATTTATTAAAGTTATTGTGCCGATGTATAAAGTGCTCAGAGTGATCTTCACAATAGCTTAAGAAATAATCCAGAGTGAATGTCTGAACCAAGGTTATCTCTAGAGCTCTGTGATCAATATAGGATTCGATATGGTTTCTCCTTGTGGTATTTTCTCATCTCCTTCAAGCTCTAGAACTCACGGGCATTCTATCTCTCCACTAGCCCTGGAACCACTTCCTTTCCCCCTGTATAGAATAATAGTGTGTGAAGTGTCACAAGGGAACATTAAGCACAGTGCTAATGGAAACAATCCAGAGATATCAAAAGGAATTCCTTCAGTGGAATGTGACATTCCACTGCTTTTGGTAGGACTTCCTTGCATTTAACTTTTAATGGGCCATGTGCTTTGTGCTCACAGCCCTGGCAGCTTTTGTGTAAGTATCTTTTTGTTGTTCTAAAACTACCACACTTTTGTGTAGCAGCTATGAGAAATCTTAAAAGACACCACAGACGGTTGGTTCTTAAATGTTGCATCTTTTTAAAAAAATAATAATAATCCATGAATGAACCAGGCAAGAATTTTCAGCAACTCTCAAAAAGAACTTTACTTTGAATTTCTTTAGCCAAATAAAGTAATTAGGAAAAGAATGGCATTATGCTATTTGTGGAGAAATTCCCTGAGCTCTTAAAAAAAAAAAAAAAAGATACAGAACCCAGAATCTGTAGGGATGGAGTTTCTCATTTGAGTGCGATTTGACTCACAATAATCTCCAAATAGGAAAGGATTTAGGGTTGACTGGAATCAGTAGGTATATTTCAGCCATCGTTCTCTCTTGTTTTGGCAAATGTCTTGAGATTTGAAAGTGTGTATTCCTCCAGAGATTTTCTATCACTAGTGTATGCAATTCACAAGTGTTTCTTCATTGTAGTGAATTAGGGAACATTGTAGGCATGGGAACTCTGTGGAGCTATCAGAGTTCGGTGTTCCTGCCACCTCACCTCCTTAGACTTCTCTGAACTGGTTGTTCTAAATAGATCCAAATGGGAAATATCCACGTGTGGCTCTTTTGTAGATTTCAAGAACAATATTTATGAATGTAACCTGGATCACAAAAGCTTAGCTTCAACTTATTCAAAAGTGAATGAACTAGTAGTTATTCTTGTACCTGCCCATTCTTTAAAGTGGCAAAGTATGAGGTTTTAAATTTAGCTTTGTCCTCTGAAAATGGTGGCTTCAAGTACAGCATTCCATTTCTTCTTTGGATAATTTTGTTAAAAATAAATAAATAACTGCGGAGGAATGTGCCTTTGCATGCTTAGTTCAAGAAGATACCAACCATATCAAAATACATTTTTTAATCTCACTGCAGTCTTCAGTCAGACTTTGCCATTGATCTCGGCAGAAGTATCCTCAGCTTTATTTCTAGAAGTTTCCCATTTCTAGGAATGTTCCTAGAAAGGGCCAGCTGATTATTTATGCAAATGTGCTACATCCAAGCTACTTTGATGGGGGGGAGGGGAATAATCCTTGGTGGTTCTTTATTCTTCTGTTTCTTTACTTATTACAAAAACTAGGCTGTGTTCCATATTCCTGGCATGGGCTTACTGCAGGTGGTCCTTGGCCTTGAATGTTGATTCCTACCTTCTGTATTTTACTTTCTTGATCATATCTTTTCTCGTTATTTTTAAATATACCAGCCTGGTCAGCACTGGCTGCATTGCAACAGACAGATGACACTTGGATGTCCAAAAGGACTAGTTTTGCCGACTTCTTATCCATAAATCCTTTCCTATTTGAATCTTACTTTTGTATTCTTCCTCTTTGGCCGTACAGACTGTATAGAACAAGGGAACTGAAATAAACTACTAGTTTGGCACATTGTGCTTTAATTTTTGCAGTGGCTCTCTAAGTTTCCTCGATACTGAAAATAATTTTGAAGAATTTGCATAAGATAGTTGATGCTTGTCAGAAGCTAGTTGGAACACATCGTTTCTGCTGGAAATATGCCTTAATTCCACGTCATTGTAAATTACTTCATGGAATAAGGCTTACAAATCAGAAGGATGACAACTGAAAGCCCTGTCCTAACTAGTTAAATCTCACCTAGATGTCATGATGGGACCCAATCCAGATGATTATGATTCAAAAATAAAGCGTACTAGAATATACTATTTTTCCAGTTAATTCTCCCAGTTCAGGCCTTCCACACCAAATGTTCCAGCAAAAAGCATGCCTTTGTCACCCGCTTAATGCTGCAAGACTGTTTGGGACCCCTACAAGACCATGCTCCAGTCCTTCTCCCACCCCACCAGTGATCCAGCCTCAGGTGTTTTTTCTTTTCATCAGATAGTTCTCCAGGATAAGATCCCTACAAAATTGTGCCAGAATCCTACCAGATACACTTCCACATTGTCTGGGCAAGGCCAGTCAGAGTGGCCCCAGGTTTTAGCAGTGACCCACCTCTTCACGCTTAAGTCTGCAAAATGTGTAACTCCTTGATTTGCTTATGGCCACTCAATAGATCACAATCCACAGTCTGAGAAGCCTCACTGTGTACTATCTTGTCATGTTTATTCAGCAGGATCAGAGTCAAAGTTGAGTCAGTTCTCACGCCCTATATCATCTGCCAATTGTTTATATTTGTTTAAATGAGAAAATGCATAGATTTGTAAGTCACTGGGATATAAGAGAGTGAGTTGGATAAATGATTAGTTGGGGTACGCTTTGCTTACCTCCCAAGCATAACATCTATAAAACATCAGAGGTGGGTTGCAGTAGTTATAAATACTATTGGTGGCTTTGTTTTTAGTAACTAGGCATAGAATACAATGACTTTACTACCATAATAAATGATAAATATTTTCTGAACTCTGATCCAGTAGGACCCAGGACCTTCCACATCAGGCCCATTTACAAATGGATGAAGTGTAAGTGTGAAAACTGGGGATGGATTTGATTTTCCTCACAGTCATCCATCTGCCAGCAGGCCTCAAAATGAAAAGGAACCGTATGCAAATTGTTCTTTGTGGCTGAAACTGACTCAGTTCATCTGGAATCACACAAGGAAACTCTGCATGTTTGGAAAGTCCCACTATTTCTATTATGGGGATAAACCCATTTTGGGTGTATTTCATCACTGTGACTTTATCCACTGTTAATTTCCAAAGGAAACATTAGATGCTGAACGTGATGTAAAGAAACTACAAGCTTATTTGTAATCCGAACAGTGCTAAGGCAAAGTCTGATGGTACACAAACTTCGCTAGTGGTTTCTCACATGATTACTGCCAACACCCATATTTCATGAAGTTAAACAATATAGCTTCACTGAGTTATATTGGTACATGTCCATTACCTATATGAAGAATTAGACCAGAGTCAGGCAACATGATATACACAGGATCCACTGTACCCCCAAATACTTTCCTTGCTAACTTTGAGGCTACCGAACTGTTTTTTTATTTTCCCTGCATTGAAATAATTGTTACGTAAATGCACAGATAGCAAGATTGTATAGCACCTGTGCCTGACTTCATATTTTTTACAAAAATGTCTTTGTGTTTCATGGATGATGTAAGAGTTCTCTGGAAAACTTTGCTTTTTGATAAACAGGTTTTATGTGTCTAGTCAGGCCCACTTGTGAGTTGCTTGCCATATGATCTTAAACTTCCAGCCTAAAAAAGTTCCTGTTTTTCCGATTGGACCACACTGTGTGGGAAAAAAATAAGTGATCTTCTCAGTCTAGAGAATACTAGATTGAGGGAAGTTGCCCTTGAGGTTATAATGTTGTATAGAATCAGCTTGGTCTAATGCAGTGTTTTTCAACCTTGACAATTTTAAGGCATGTGGACTTCAACTCCCAGAATTCCACAGCCAGCATTGCTGGCTGTGGAATTCTGGGAGTTGAAGTCCACATGCCTTAAAATTGTCAAGGTTGAGAAACACTGGTCTAATGGTTAAGGCCTCGGGTTAGAAAGCGGGAGACTGTGATGAGTTCAAGTTCTGCCTTAGATATGAAAGCCAAATGGATGACTTTACCTAGTCACTTTCTCTCAGCCCAACCCACCTCGAAGGATTGTCGTTGGGAAAATAAGAGGAGGAAGGTGTGCTGGATATGTTCGCTGCCTTGAGTTAATTGTAAAAATAATAAAGGCGGAATATAGCAATAGCACTTAGACTTATATGCCATCCCATAGTGCTTTACAGCACTCTCTGAGCAGTTTATAGAGTCAACGTATTGCCCCCCCCCCCAAAAAAAATCTGTGTCCTCTTTTTACCAACCTTGAAAGGATGGAAGGCTGAGTCAACCTTGGGCTGATCAAAATCAAACTCCTGGCAGAGGGCAGAGTTGGTCACTGCACCACCAGGGTTAAAATATAAATATCAAGCAGAAAGTGCAAGGTGCAAGGTGCCAAATACAGATGTGTCCACAAGGGGCTTTTGAGAAAAGCCTTTGTTCCTGCAGCCATCTTTGAGCGAACATTTACATTTTTCTAAGATCTTTCCAAGCAGTCGCAAATTTACATTGCCATCTGTAGAAATAAGACAAATGAAGTTTCAAGAAAGTGGCAAAATATTTTCAATTTGTTGTCACGTAAACTGCTGGAGGTACCCCATGTAATTACCAAGAGTCAAGTGTGACTTAAGAGAGCCTGTTTTTTGTTTTTATATATATCCATAAAGCTTTATATATAGCACAAGGCTGGTGTCAGATAATAATTGAATAAAATAAAATAAAATTGAATAAAATAAAAGGTATGGAAAATTTTAATTACAATAGTGAAAGCAAATAGAAACTAAATTCTGAGAGATAGAATAAAAAGTGCAAAACAAGAAAAAGAAGTAAGATAATGAAAAAGGAAATTAAAGAAATGATTTCTGATCTTTATTGCAAGCATAAACAATCTTAAACAATTTTCAACCCCTAAAAATTACAAATTCTCTTCTTCCCATAATGCTTCCATATGCAAATCCTAGATCATCAATTTTTCAGTCTTAGTGTCAGCAAAAAGTCTGTAATGTTAGCAGAGCTTTATAAAAATGTCTCATTTTAACCTTGGTCAAACAAACCAACTTTATATTCCTTCCTTTTGCTTCTAAGAGTCTTGATGTTTAATTCATTCAGAGGTTTATATAGGATTTGATTTCATACCATTTTTCTTTTCTCCATCCAAAAGACTTCTTGAAGACTTTAACAAACATTTTGTAAATCTAATAAAAACTCATTATCAAGATTGTTCTCTTGATTTATCAACTGTGTTTCTACTTTAATTTTCAAAGCTTTAATACCCTTCTTTCCTATATCCAGTAAACATCTGGACCACTTTCTTGGCTCATCTTTTGTGTTTTTGCTTTAGTTACCTTTTCTGTCTTATAATCCACACTTCTAAAATTATCTAATATTTCTGGTTCTGATATTTCTACATTAGGGAAAATTTGTTCCAGTCCATCATTTCTTCATTAATAACTTTTTGATATAGTATATTCATAGAATCAGATACAATTGCTGATATTGTAGCTGCTAATTTCTGACCCCATTGTTCAAAAGTCTCATGAAGGTGTGTTATGTCATTTTGTAAATCCCCTTGCTAACAAAAAACAAAACAGGTTACCCTCCCCCCCTTTTGCTTTTCTGTCAGAGATCTGACAGAGATCTGACATCATAAATTCTCAAAAATCTCATATGACAGGATAGCCAAAACATTTTCTTCCCATGAAAGTCTATTTATTTATATAATTATTTCCAAAACTTTTGTTAAACGTTTTAACGTTCTAAATTCATCTGGATCCTTAACTCATTTATAACTTTCTTGGGTCAAAATCCTGTTTAGCTTTTTGCCATTTATTTCTAGCTCTTCAAATTCTTAAGCTTGTAGTTAATTTTTCTTTTGTTTAGGAATGACAATAAACTCACCAGGTGGCTTTTCAAGCTTGTCGTTCTGAAGCTCTAATAGCCTTAAGGTAATAAGGAAATTTCCGAAAGCTTAGTGAACCCAGTATCTTTTGAAAGGCTCTGCCACAGTTGTGAGAATGATGGCTGTTCCCTTCATTTCCTGGCACTCAAACCCATAGAAGACAACTGTCCTGTGGACTCCTCATGAGGACCAGCCATCCGGAGCACATGTGGGCAATCTCCCCTCCCCTCCTTATCTGGAGAAGTTCTATAGAACCAGTGCACTTTCCACTTTTTTCAGTCTTTTCCACAGTTGCCTCTGCTCTCTTAGGGATGGCTAGTTCACCATGCTTCTCCATAAGTCTTAACAAGAATATATCTTCATGTTCCTATCAGAGGTTATATAATTTCAGCCTCATTTCTTGTAAGCTGCTATTATTATTATTATCATCAACCATCTTTGGGTCTCAAACAGAGACATGCAGGTAGATCTTGCATAGTTCTAATAAAACAGGTCCAGTTGAATCCTCCTCTTTCCATGTTTCATCTCCTGCAGTGAAAGCTATTTACCTGGCTCTGAGCAGGCAAAGAAAACCATAGAATTGGAAAAGAAGGTCAGTGGATTTAATTTAAGAGGTTAAAACTGAACATTCTGTTTGCTTGGTTTTTTTGCAGTTCTTTCTGAAAAAAATCTTTTTCCTCCCTGCAAATCCAGCATTCTCCGCACGTAGGTTTAATCAAGTGTTTTCAGCTTTTTCTCTAAAGGCAAGTTCCTAGGCAACACAGACTTCGCTTGTTCAAAGCCACAAGTCACAGTAACATAGGAACTTCCATTTAAATCTTTTATTATTTCAGACTATTTATTTCCCAGGACTGCCACATTAATTCACCTGTGCAGAGTAATTTCAGCTACATCTTAATTCAGTAGCTTAAATCACACATGCCTCTACAGCAGGGGTTCTCAACCTTGGCAACTTTAAGACTTGTGGACTTCAACTCCCAGAATTCCTCAGCCAGCTTTGCTGGCTGAGGAATTCTGGAAGTTGAAGTCCACAAGTCTTAAAGTTGCCAAGGTTAAGAACCCCTGCTCTACAGCCTCGTACATGGCATGCAGCTTGCAAAAATGCAAGTGAAGTATTTTACATTCTTTGCAGGAATTTTTATAATAATTGATGTTTTTTTTTAAAGTTTCGTTCAAGAGCCAGAGTTCACCATTGTGAAGTCAACCCGCTCCTCTTCTGCAATTTTTTTTTTTTTTGACATTGATGGCTGTTCAAACGAAGGCATTCTTAGGAGAATGGGTGCTATTAACCCATATATGTAACTAGGCACTTTGCAAGAATGACAGCTGATGCTGAATCACTCTAGTAGTCCTCAACTTGCAACCATAATTGAGCCTAAAATTTCTGTTGCGAAGTGAGGCAATTAAATGACTTTTACCCCATTTTATGACTTTTCTTGCCACCGTTAAGTGAATCGCTGCAGTTGTTAAGTTCGTTAACACAGTTGTTAAGTGAATCTGGCTTCCCCATTGACTTGGCTTGTCAAAAGGTTACAAAAAGTGATCACATGACCCTGGGACCGTCATAAATATGAACTAACTGCCAAGCATCCGAATTTTGATCATGTGACATGGAGATGCTGCAATGATTTTAAATGTGAAAAAACGGTAGTAAGTAACTTGTTTCAGTGCCGTTGTAACTTTGATCACCAAATGAACGGTTGTAAGCCAAGGACTATCTGTATATATATATATATATATATATATATATATATATATTAGCTAAGTAAAATGTTCATCTAAATCAGTGGTTCTCAACCTTTCTAATGCCGCGACCCCATAATACAGTTCCCCATGTTGTGGTGACCCCCAACCACTTATACATCACCGAGTGCCAGGGGCGTGGCCAAAGAAAAGGGGGGAAAAATGGCGGACAGCCTTGTTTGGCGACCCCCGTGAAATGGGGTCCCGACCCACAGGTTGAGAACCACTGATCTAAATCATATTGGTAATAAAAATAACTTGATCTATTATTGGCAACCTATGATACGGATTATTTGCTTTAGGACCTTTTTCATTCAGATGCATGGCAGATAACATAGAATTCATCTCATTTGAAATGCTTTCAGTATAAAGAAAGATAGTAGCAGGTCCAATGGCACTGTGGATCTAACAGAGGTAGTCCTCATTTAGTGAGTGACTTGTTTAGCAATTGGTGATTTAAAAAAAAAAAAAAAGTAATTTTGTGACCAGGCCTTACATTTAAGATCTTTGCAGGTCTGTAAAACGAAGGAAAGCTAAAGTAAGATCATAAGCTAATTGCAGTTCCAATGAGTGTCTGCTTGTTTAATAACCAAATTGCGGGGCCCAGTTGTGGTAGTTGAGGACTATCTGTAGAACTAGTTTGTTCATTTTTTTTTCCAGGAAAGAAAAAGAATTGAAATTTTAAGACAGAGGTGCAACTTACTTGAAAATTGAAAATAAAGTTAGTAGTTTTCAATTAATAAATTTCACAGCAGATCAGAATGATTTTCAGAGCTTCACCTCCTGCCAAAGGTACCGTCCAAAATTCCTCCCCCTCCCAAAGACATGGATCGCATGACACTAAAACATGAACACAAAACGTACATACAAGCTATAATTGACGTTATAGTGCAACTCCCACAGGTCGATTTAATTTGCATTATCATTTGCAACTTCACAGATACCAAAAGGGTTAGTGTGGGTGGCAAACCCCCCTAAACTATACCTTGTGCTACAAACTTTATTTTATGCTGTATTCCTTCTGTATTTATATTTTTGGTATTTATGATGAATGATCTGTAATTTGATGTATTTATTGTGGCTTATTCTGCAATGTATATACTAAAAATAAGCATTTATAAGTCTTAAAATTAGGTTATTTTTTTTCTTAGTGGCATTCGTACTATGC